GTACTACGAGACCATACTGACTGTCCCTCAAGCGGACGCTCTCTTCACTCCTCCCTCTTCCTACTCTCCTCAAAAGCCGATTGCGAGGCTGGACCTTGGCTTCGACTCTCCCTCTGACGACGTGCTAGACGCTGATATCTTCAACATGACTGGCACAGGATCACCTCAACCATACATCAAAGAAGAAGTCGACGAGATGTCTTTCAACCAGCGCTTCCTCGGCCACAACGGCCTTGACATGAACCACCAATACGCTAACGCTCAGTTCGCTGGGCACGAGAATGCCAATGGCATCAACCCCTCCGAGCTCAACATGAGCGGGAGCATGATGGGCAACCACTTCGCCGGCAACAGCTACATGCAGGGCGGAGCAGGGATCGCTGACGACGAACTTGCCGAGTCACTTGGCACTTTCGAACAACAACCAGCCTTCAACAACTTTGCTCAAGAGCAGGCTGGCCAGCAAGACTACTACCACAGTCACACCAACAACCCAAACATGAACCAGGTCTACTCAAACACCCCAGACGACCTGCCCATCCACAGCCCCTTCAACCACCCTGGCAACTTCGACTTCAACCAGTACCAATCAGTACCACAGAGGATGAACTTCCCTGGCAGCATGCCCAGTGGATCCATGCGCCAGCGTATCACCATGAGCCGGACTGGCTCTGACAGCCGTGCTCCCATGTCACCAAAGACCCCTGCCATGGCTGGTCTCCACCTCGGCACGCCAGACTCTGGCAACTTTACTCAGCCAATCATGACCAACATGCACCGCCATCAAAAGAGCGTGTCTGGCCAGTGGGACGGCACTCCCGGAAGTGCGCACTCATGGATCGACTCGCCCACCGCGTCGCCCCACCAGGGCACCATGCACCACCAGCAGATCACCGATGTCCTGCATTCCGGCAAGCACAACTCACTACCTGCCAAGGTCGATATTGGCCAGAACGCAGACGCTAAGAAGCGCCGGCGTCGGGAGTCTCATAACTTGGTCGAGCGTCGCCGACGGGACAACATCAACGAGCGCATTCACGACTTGTCTCGTCTTGTACCTCAGCATCGCCTCGAGGACGAGAAGATCCGCAAGCACATCAACAATAATGGCCCCTTGTCACCTACCATGGGCGCCACCGGCATGTCGCCTCCACAAGCAACGTCACTTCTCGCTGGTGGCAATGGAAGGCGGGCCGCTGGTAACATTACACAGGGACTGCCCATCGAGGAGAAGGACAAGGGCCCGAACAAGGGTGACATTCTCAACGGTGCTGTCAGCTGGACTCGCGATCTCATGTGGATGCTGTCCAAGAAGCTCCAAGAGTGTGACGAGCTAGCTGCACGACTTCAACAAGCCACTGGCGAAGAGTGGGTCACCGAACAGACTGAAGACGAGAAGCGCATGAAGACCGAGATCCTCGAGGCTCTTGAGAAGAACGGCTCAGGTACCTTCCGATACTCGCGAGGCCCTGGCTCCGGACTCCGAGTGCCCAAGCACACCAACTTGGCCGGTGAACCTATCAGCGGCGCATCTCCACAGAGTCTTAGCCCAGGCATGCAGAGTACCGGTAGCGGTTCTGGATCGAACCAGCAGCAGTACTGGTCTAGTCTCAAAGAGGAGGATGAGTACGGCATGGACATGAACTGATCCAAAGCCTACTAGCTGTCTCTGTTCTTCCGGCCTTTTCATCTCGTTGTCGATTCCTTCACTATGATACCCCGCGATACCCCGCACCCGTTCCTGCATCCTGCTTGATGCATACGCTAGAGCTGCTACAATGAGGCTAAAGACACCTCACATCGGTCGACCATTCCTCGGCATGTCGTCGCCCGCGCGCGTACCGTCTCTGCTGGCCAAGGACGGATGAAGCTCTCGCCTGCATCAAAGCACTTCCCATTTCGTTGCATAATATGTTCTACCCCTCCGTGGCACATCATCACCCTGGTTTCCCGCTCATCATCACCCGAGCTTAGCCTACCAACCGGAGCACGAAGGTCTTCGCCGCTTCGGTATTCGACACTCTCCGTACACGGCGGTCTCTCCTTCTGGCAGCTCTGCGACTCGCTTTCCTTCATCTATTTACATCTTTCTCGCATGTATGTGGCGTGTCACGGTTGTTTACCTGCAGTTTTGCACATCACCACTCTTGTCTTCTTTAATGCCAGTTTTGTTTATGGGAGGCACATGTAAGCATGGTCGGCGCGTTTCGGATTGTTGGCGTTCTATGGTGTCAGCACTTATGTTGGTGGGAAGAGAATGATAGATGCAGAAGACGTTCGGATAACGCTTGCTATGGTTACGATGGGCCTATGGGAATTCTTGCTACTGCGCGTTCTGCCTTTCAGTTCATGGGCTCTGGTATGGGCCGATTGGTCCCAGATACAATTTCATCTACATCAATAACCCCGTCTTTCATGCCTTGTCGAGTTAGGTGAAGTTGGTTGAGCCGCGCCCCTCCCTGTCCATTCGGCGGTGGAGGCGACCGCCACAGTCCTCCCGTCAGGCAGCCAGTGTGGAGGACGAAAAGGTCCACAAAAGCAACATTCCGGATTCCTGCGTCTCTACCACGCCTCTCCCGTGTCTCAGCCTCATGGCATTCACAATTTTCGGATACGAGCAAATCGCCATCGCCATCGCCATTGCCGCCGCCTTCACCCAATCTCCAAGATTGCGCAAAGACTGTGATACACGGACTACTTGGCCAGCTAAGTTGTGGCGTCGGCGCCATACATAGTAGCGCTGGATCTCGTACAACAATACCGTATCTAGGGCTTATGGGAAAGTGGGAAAGTAGGGAAAAAGCAAGTCTAGTCGCCCGCATCTCAACGGCTAACGAAGGGATAAAGACAGAAAAGCAATTTCGCAAGATCATGTCCGAAGAACGTTCCGGACGGAGGTGAGACCGACCGGGTGTTTGGCTGTTTTCGGGTGGTGGGGTGAGTCGTGAACGGTGGAGGATGGGGAATGAGATATGGGTACATGCAGGTGACGAGAAGAAGGAATGATAGCTTGGCTTGGTTGGTTGGTTGGTTGGTTGGATGGAGACGGGGGAGGTTTGATTGCGCATTCCGATACGTTTGATGCGGAGGATGTAGTTCGGTAGAAACGCAAGTCCAACATGCATCCCATCCCGACAGCCGCTCATACCCATATCCATCTCACCCCATAGAAACAACGAAGAGAAATACAGTTAGACATCCCGGCCGACATTCCCACCAACCAACCCCTCCCTCGCAATCCCCTCATCACAATCACCACAAACCCATGCCATGCAGTCCGTTCCGACACGAAACACCTATATCACTCTTCAATATACCCCGTCCTGCGTCCCCGCCATTCCTGCCGGCAGATCACCCCCCATGCCAATATGCTTACACGCACGCTACGATCGGTCTGCAAAACGGCCTCTGGTCCCGCAGCCAATCAGCTGCCTACGTCCTTACTACGTCCTTCGCTCACGATGCAGTGTTATCCAATCGAGGGGGTCCGTGTCCATGGCGAATGGATTATGCGCAATGTGCAGGTAACCGTACTGTATACGCGAGCGGCGAAGGGTTCTGCAAGAAGAGACAAAAGCCGTTGCGGGGGTTGGGTTGGGGTGAAGCAGGGACGTGGAATGGAGTGGAATGGGATCAACCGGCGAGGGGGACCTTGTCGCGATGTTGCTACACAATCGCATTGCGTCTACAAGGGGTATAGCCACTTCTTCGTCGTTTGACGGAACGAAGAGAGGGGATGGGGTGCACGATCGGTGTTGAGGGGGTTTTGGTTGTGACATTGCAAGGGAGTCGGCAGGTGGGCTTGGGGTGTTGGGATCGGTACTGACATCTGTCGTGTAACATGCGTACGTACGCACGCTAGTGTGGATAGCTGTGTTATGAGAGTGCTATAGCGAGGTACGTTATAGTATGATAGCATGCACAGTTATGCCGTTGTAGTTGCTAGTTCGCATAGTCAGTATAGCTGGCATAACACTGCGCATGCATGCGGATGAGGTTCAGCAAAGAACACCGACGCAGTCTCATCTCACTTCAGGCCATAATCTCCTCGTCGCAAAAGACACACGGTGCCTTGCGCGACGCCAAACCCGCACTCGCCCGTCTCTCACGCCCTCCCACAGCAAAGTGAGAAGCCCATCTGCCACCGACGTCATAACACGAACCCCCCGTAGACACAACCACACTGTTTCAGTGGCAGAGACAGCAGTAGCGCAAAAACAAAGTGTTCATGGCGCTACCAAAGATGCGCATCACACATGTTCAGATAGCCGGACATTCCAGCAGGGAAGACAGGTGTTGAGCAAGTCATCGTGCCCCCATCGGCAGTGTCAGCTAGCCGGCTGTACGACGGTTACACCCCCCGATCTGCAGAGCAGCGCCGTTTCCTAGATCTAGGTTTGCGGGGGATGACTTGCAGGTCTCGGTTGAAGATCGGGTCTGACGGTCGCCACTGCAGGATGACGGGGGGTGGTGATCGATGGGAATGTGTAGCGGTGAACAAGGTGTATTTGCGCCGCTGTCTTATCGAGGTTCTACAAAGAACGATGTGATTCAGATAGACCTGCAGTGTTGTCTGCACTGCCTTGTCTTCCATCGGATCTGTTGTGGCGCGCCCGGGTATCACCAGTATCCTCGGTGTTTACAGCATCTGCCAAGCTGTCATGGGCTTTCCTTGTTGTGTCCAAGTTGCTTGTATTTGTGCCTTTCGCGGAGATGGGTGCCAGTGCCGCCGATCCGACCATCCCCATGTCTCACTATATGCTTTGCCGTCTTGGTCCAGGGCATCTTCTCAATGTCATCTGTCGAATCTGCAGTCTCGCCGCAGGGTGCGCATGGGGCGTGCTCACACATACGCATGTGCGTCATTTGGCACGTCGAAGATGTTCGGAAAGAAGAGTGGAGACGTATTCCGAGGGGTCTATGTGAGCCATGTTCTTCGGATGCTACCGAACAGATGACCGCGTGATCTTTGTCCTTCGCTCGAACAGTAACTCGTTATCCTAAGCTCCGCGAGGTTTGTTTTGGCCGTTGGGTTGCGATGGCTGAGATGCGTTTGCGGCGGTGGTGACAGGGCCGTCACTGTCTTCGCCGAAGCCCAAGTTCTTGAACGAATCCGGTGCCATCAGATTTCTAATGCAGTGATAATGGTCAGCCATATGCTCATTATGTAAGGGGAATGATCAGAGCGAGAGGAAGGATGCGCGACTCCGCCGGTGCTACTGGAATTAGATGGCGGAATGGCGTGGAAAGCTAATGGGAAGATAGGCGGCGCAGTATGTTTGTATGACGGTACAGCGATACCTTCCTCGAGAGAGTAGATGATGGTACGTACCGGTCCATGCGACATGACAGGTATGACTTGGAGAGGCCGCGGCATTCGGGGTCGTTGGTCCCACGATGCGACTTGATGCATCGCAGGTACGAGAGCATGATGTCCTTGCATTCTCCTGAAATGCAGTGTCAGCGGGTTGTTTGCACGAATAGCAATGACGGTTCGGTGTCGAGATGGTTCGATTGGTTCAATGGGATGTGAAAGTGGACGTAAAGGGTTTGTGAAGCGTACCATCGTGGTCAAGAGGGAATGAGCCACGCTCTGGCCTGAAGTCAAACAATTGTTAGCACAAGGACTCGCGAAATAGCAAGAGGCAGCCAAGTTCTCCAAGTCTTCCGGGGGTTACAACGAGACATGCGCATTGAGCAAAGAACTTACGGATTCGGCTTTTGGACCTTTTGCCCAAGCCCAGCGCCTCCAAAATTGCTCATATCGGCAAATCAGGTCCTGAATTGAGTACTTGGATAGACTTCGGGGGTCCGTGGGGTAGTAGTCGGGCTTGGTGGTCGCGTTGAAGGATAGTGACTGTGATGGGTGAATGAGGGTCAGATAAACTTAGCGCGATCGGCCTCATTCGGTGGCCAGTGCTGCAACCTCGGGATGACGTGCCTCGTGCATCGCGCTGCAGGGCAGGTCAACATCACGACTTCTCCGCTACACTTGCATTCCGAAGCCAAACTATTATGATCAAGTTCATTTCATTGTGCGACGGCCACTTTCGACCTGCTTCCACTCCAGTGTCTGAATTCCCATCGAGGTAGACAATTGCGTGCGCAGTTCGGCTCTCTAGCCTATCCCACAATCCATCTCCAACGCGTATCTCAAGCCATCATGACTCTCCCAGCCTTGGAGTTGTCCCAATCTACAAAACCTCTTCCGCACCCTGATCGCCATCCTAAACCCCATCCGCCTCCCGATTCTTGCCAATCTTTAGCTTCGCCATCTTCTCAAGCCTATCCAACTGTTCATTGAATCCCTGATAGATCTTCTCCATCATCTTAAGATTTCGCATCTCGGCGTGATGTCCCTCCCAGATCTTCTGAATCTTCTTCAACTCCGCGAGGGCCTCCTCTTGCTTCTCCTTGGGACTTTGAAGTTCCTGGCGTTTACGCTCTTCCTCGTCGAAGATGTTGGGGCCTTCTTCGTCGTCGAGGCAGCGGGGTCCGTCCCAGCGGGCGCAGAGAGACTTGTCTTCTGTGGGGACGTAGTCATCTGATAAGTGGGTTAGTACAATAGGTTGTGGGATTCCAGCGAGGGGTAATGCTATCAGCTCAGAGTGCATACTTGTCTTGGCGACTGCGCGCGGCCTGCGGTGGTCATTGTAGACCCATTGCTCGTGTGCGGCAGCGGAAGCGGCGAAGAGGCCGGCGACTGCAGCCAAGATGGTGGTGAACTTCATGGTGTTGGGAAAATGCCTTGCTGGTTTTGGTCTTGGTATGGTTGGGTATGAAATGCAGCCGTGAAGATACTTTATGAGAGAGGATGTGTTTAAGAAAAGCGAAGAGATGAAGACAGGGCTATTTTATTTAACAATGTGGCCCTGATATTCCCGCGGTACCGCATATCCAAACTTGTTTGTGCAACCAATCCTTTTTCAGCTTGAGATAATCAAGGCTACTTTACCATAGAACGCGCGAATGCGGGCCAGTCACAATCACTGCTTTACATATCATCGGGCGAGCCGTGTTGGCTACCACGGCTATGCTCTAAATTTCTCCCCACTTGCAGGAACTGCTACGCATGCCTTTGCGATGGGTCAAACTACTGAAATTCTTTCGTGCTAACAACCACAGTGCGATCAATTTTTGCGATTCTTTCACCGGTGGTTTGGAGAGACATGGTACTATGGCGTTTTGCTCAACCAACAGCAGTCTTGTAACAAGTGAGGGATAGGTAGGGACAACTATAGCCATGGCGATTAGTCGTCAGCGGTGTAATGCACAAGCAACCTTAAAAATCGCCCACCATAGTAATTTGTGAGTGACATAACGCGGTTTGAGAGACCAAACGCCCAACACATAAGTAGATGCAGTCCTGATCTGCCTGTGACTTTATCAGTATACAGCAAATGTTTTGCTTCAGTGTCACATGTGCGGAATCGGTTACATGTTATTGAAACTTCTGTTATCGATAGTACAGATGAAGGAAGAAAGCCTGAGATGGAACAGCTTGTTCTCGCTGAAGACTAAAGGAGCAACCTTGATCTTCACCCAAATACCCCATAAGCCATGATAGCTAAGCGAGAATCCCCACGACGAGAAAACCCATATATCTGATGCGAGATCGAGACACACAACATGAATGATCCTCATGTTCAATTGACGTGAGAACACGTTGCGCAGACAGGAACAGCGAATACCACCACTCAATTCCACGTCATGGTAAAATCGACAGAGCTGGCACACCCTTCTCAGCTAGAACCATCTCTCACCCGCTCCCTACGGCCACTCCGGATCCTCCCTCCTCCTAAAGCACGCCACAAACTTCAGTCCCTTATTCCGCTCCACCTTCTTCCCCTCCTCAGTCTCACTCCTCATCAACCTAACACACTCATCCATACCCACGCCCTCAACCCCATCCACCGTCTCCCCCTCCTCAAACACCCTCTCCACCCGCTCAAAACACGGATGACGCTCAAAATGCCCCTTCATCCACTCATGCAGATCCTGCACATCCGTAATCGTATACACCACCCCACCCGGCCTCAATACGTATGCGTATTCTGAGTTGAGTGTGTAAGACACAATGCGCGCCTTATGTTTCCGTTGCTTGAAATGCGGGTCCGGGAAACACAGGAAGATTTTCGATAACTGATGTTTTTGGAAGAAGTTGGGCAGGAATTTCATGGTGTTTGCGCGGATGCAGGAGGTGTTTTGGTAGAGCTGCGATGATGAGGCGTTTTGGACGCGGAGGGCGCGGACTTTTTCTTGCACGTATTCTGTCACTGAGGTGCGGATTTCCATGCCTGTGGGTAAGTGTTAGTCTGGAGATGGCTGCTTGTGGTCTTTGTGGGCGCGTTTTCGTGGATGGGGTGGCGAGGAGGGATGGGGAAACTGACCGAGTATCAATGTGTCAGGGAATTTGGGTGCGAGGGCGAAGAGTAGGCCGCCGAAACCGCATCCTATGTCTGCTATTTCGACGTTCTTTGATATCGCATTTGCTTCCAGTTGCTCTTCTATGCTGAGATCATGTGACTCATTCTGCCCTTCTTCCGTCTCTTTCTTGGGATGTTTGGCGTACATGGGGTATAGACTCGCCCAGTCCATGTCTGCGGGGCTCTTGGGGCTGCATAACATTAGATACATTTCTCATCAAAGACCAAATCATCTTACTATGTGAGCGAGTGATCTGAGAAGGGGTTCGCATGGGCGCGCTGCCTGTAGAACCTCTTCTTGGGCATAGCGCCCTGCTGCTCCTCCGTCTGCAGCGACTTCTTGTACTCCTCGCGCTTTGTGCGCTTTGCTGTTTCGCCTGGCATGGTGACTTTGGTATGCGCAATTAACAGATATGCAAGGAAGTAGGGTCAAAGGTAGATGCACAGGTGCTGAGGTAATAGTCGATTAGCTGCGTATCACGAATCAAGCGAGTTTTTCGCTAGCGCCAGGGTCTCTGGTCCACCACATCTGCAGCAACGCAGCAAGCAGCCGTTCGCGCAGCGATCTACTACTTGTACGACAAAGCGTAGCGTGACGTAATTCGACCTGCATGTCTCAGAGACGTTACTACAAAAAGCCCGACGACCTTGGCACCCTGCATACGGTCCGTGGGAAGAAAAATCGATACAAGAAGACAATCCCAGGTGTGCGCCCTAATGCTAATCCTTATCCAAATGCCCAGTCGTTCAGTCATCAACATTATCGGAATTCAATCGCGCCTTGACACCCAAAATCTTGGATGTGTTTCAAATTGAGCTTCTGGAATCTGGGCAGTGTTAGCATGCGACCATCTTGGCTGGTATGTCAAACTCACTTCTCGCTCTTAGCATGGAAGTAGATGCCCTCGATGCCACCCGAGAGCTGGTTGAAGCAGATGTAGTAGAAGCCTTCAAAGCTCGCACCGCTGATGGTCCTCACTCGGTGGTCTGGCACGAGAAAGTACTCCTTCCACCGCATGAAGAGGTGTTCCTTCTGGTTCAGCTCCTTCGACACTTGTTCCTGGCGCGCAGAGTACTTAGCAATCGGCTTGTATGCGTCGAACCGCCCCCAGTGTTGCCGGTCGACCTTCTCGTTGGAGCCCCATTCCGGATGCTGTGTAATGAAGGTGTATTTGGTTCCGATGATCTCGCCTTCGAAGTACGTCGTCAGACTTGGGTGGTCTTCCGTTAGCCCTGCGAACGGATTAGTCTACAGGCTCTATGGCAACGCGGAGATGTGTGCGCACCTTTGATGCGCAAGTATCCACACATGAAGGACTCGCGCATGTCGACATGTTTTATATCGACTTCGACGTCATACTGCTGGCGGTCGGAGGTTTGGGTGCCCACGAAGCGACTGCCGGGCCGAAGGAGGGACGAGGATGTGTTGGGTAGGAACTGCATCGGCATTAGCAACGTCTACTTTGCGCATTGTTCTGCATGCATGCTGGTCTGACGTACCCTATGCGCAGGGAATGGGGACGATAGATGGCTGGCGAGCAGCGAAGTTGGCGCAGCGGGAGAAAGCGGCGAGACGTGAGAGGTGCGTTGCTCTTCAGTGCCGTCGTCTGTCGCCGTCATAGGCGTCGGAATGTCTCTGGTGGGCGAGTCTCTGTCGGTGCTGGGCAGCTTGGTCTGGATATCGTCGGGCGCCTGGGTATGCTCGCGCGAGTTTTGTGGAGACGGAGTGGGCTGCTGCATGGGAACATCGGGCACGGCGCTGGCATTGCTGTCGTCGTGGGCGCCCCGTGTCTCATTCAATTCGTGGGTTGCGATAACGCGCGATTCCTCGGGTGGACAAGTCGGGCGGCCAGCGATGCTCTCGTGCTCCACTGGCGAGACCATGGCTTCATCATCCGGCGTCGGCATGGTCCGATAGCAGGTGCGACGAGACTACAGCGAAGGTGCGAGGCGATTATACATGGGACGGGTGGGGATGAATGTGCGATTATACAATAGAGCCTTGCAGGAGCCAGAAGCGTGGCGATGGGGAAGAATGCATGCTGGATGGATGACTTGGACTCGGCGGAGGTGTCTAGGCGGTTCAAAGTTAGTGGGTCACTGAGCTGCACTTACGCGGGGAAGCCGCACTAGGCTCACGTGGGAGATGACATGGGGCCAAACCTAGACACATTGGAACACTTGATATCTAGGCCGACGATTGCATCTGTAAATTGTATTATCATTCCTTGCCAAGTGGGCCATGTTGACCTTCCGAGCCGACCCGCGCGATCTAACGAATTTTGGTCGAATAGCCCTTTCCTGAGCATCCTCCTCTCATACACCATCGTCCTAGAAGGGATCACGGAGATCAGGTGACACTAGTCACAAGCAGATGTCGTTCCTCCAGTTGACTCCGTACGCCGTCCCTACGTCATTCCACATCGAGCCGCGGTTGTGCCACAACCCCGTGGCTGTGCGCTGTCGGCAAAAGCAACGCTACTGTGCCTCCATGTGGCGGCGAGAGGCTTAGATAGGCTTGATCTATAACGCTGTGAGTCTTCATGTTCGACTTGAGTACACTTGGTCGCATACCTTGAAGTGCAGAGATATTAAAGAAAAGACCAGAGCCTTAAGGTCCTGCACCAGGTAGTAGAAGACGCGGAGGCCTTCTGGGTCTGACGAGTCTTGTACGTCCTGGAGCGAGCCAATTTTCGCAGTCTATTGTCGTCAGTTCACTGGAGGCCATGATAAACGGACCATTCTACCTCAAAGGAGATGTGCTCGCTGCCTAACCGGATTTCCAACTCTTGACGGCCGTCCTTGTTCTTCTGGGGCCACTTTGTGTCATCTTCCCTGGGGATGAGTTAGCAGATGATACGTAACTTCCATTCCATCACATACTTGAGGATCTCACTGTCCTTGACAATCTTCTTGATCTCGGCTACCAAAGCATCGCTGACGCACACTAAACGGCGCGTTAGCAGCACATCACGTCAAGGGCAGAGAATGACTTGCTCTCTTTCCGGATGAGTGAATCATTGCGGTAGTTTGAGTTGTTGGCATAACGGGCAGATGCGCTGCGACCGTCTCCGAGCACTCGAAAATCGAACTCTATACCAAGTTAGACTCGTGATTCTCTTTTCGCAACAGCTTTGCGCACCCAAGAACTCGTGTCCAAATCGGCCTTGGTGACCAGAGCTGCGAAAATGTTAGTAACTGCACGTGCTTGAGAATCCACAGCCTGCATACTAGTAACGCAGGTAAAATGGCTCGTTGGTTGTCATGTTTGCGACTACCTATATCGAGCTCTAACGATGCGCGTA